AAGTTATAACAAAAAACATCACTGTCAGTTTGTGAGTTATTCTACGGTTATCCTTTCGTCTTCTTTTGGATCCAAAAGGTTGAGATGGAGTTGTGTTTTGTTGTTTGTTTTCCAACCTCTGTTCTTTGCAATTTATATCAATTTTGACAATATCTAAATTTGATATTTTGGAATCTATATCGGAAGTGATATTTTTCTGCGTGGCATCACTATTTTCCGTTGCAGAAACTCAATTTTCAGCAGTTTTTGTCCCCAAATTCCTGAATTCTACTCTACTACTTTTACATTTGTTCATCTTTAATTGACGAAAGACGGTACATCCAATTAATGAGTATAGGAAAATAAGTGTTGTTACTAAAGCAACAGCAAGAACACCTATCACAATGGCATATACAGTCCTTGCTAGTTTATGACCTTCTTTTACCTTGCCACAACGTGTTCCAGTACTTCCATAAGTGATGCTATGAAACGAAACAGAGCCGTAAACATACGGTAACGGTAATGCACATAACAAGGAAATAACAATTGTTAATATCAACGCAGTTCTCTTTACATTGAGCGATATTGCTGGTTTCAGGGGCCGACACACTTTCAGATATCGCGGAACTGCAATTATGAGAAATAACAAAATTGGAATAAATGTTGTTAATCCAATAAAAAATTGTGTCGTTTTACACAAAATATTGTGCGTAAATGTAACTTTCTTAAAACATTGTATGAACATATAAATCCCACAGTAGATCGTTGCTATCAAGTCAAATGTAGCTATAATCGGTTTGAAATATCTTTCATCTGATGGTTCTTTCATTTGAAATGAATAAACCAACAAAACTAAAACATTTCCGCATGTGCCAAGAACGACATAAATCGTAAGTAAAACAATGTTTGGAATAAGACTTTTTGATATTATATCGTTCCATTCAGAAACTGTAATATTATCCATAGTAAAGTTATTTTCCCCAGATTCAGTGAGCAATTGACGCTTCATTCATTTCCAAGAATAATGAATTAAGCGTCATTTTTTTCCCGGAAATTATTTTTATTTACAGCAACACCTTTCGGCTGAAAAAATAAAATCACGTTTTCTCAATTAAGTTGTTATTTAAAACATCTAACAAGGAAGTTGTTTGTTAAACATAAAATAAATACGATTTGTTTCATTTTTTTTTTTAGTTTAAGGTGTAGTTAGGTAATTTTTATTCCAATTCTTGTCCAGAAATGCACACACATTGTGTTGTTGTCTCATTGACCATTTTTCATTTATATCTACTATGTATGATTTTTATCGTACCTGGTAATTTTATTTAGAGGGCTGTATGTTAACTTTAGAGTATAACATTCGACATTTGACCCGTCTAAATCAAAACATAAAAGCATAATGACAAAATAAAAAATAAAAGCAATATACTCATATAGAAATACCAAAATTTATAGAATCACAATAGCATAAAAAGGGAAGAAAAATGGTGTCAGGTTTTAACATGGTTTGATTTTCAACACCACATGATTGTGTGATGTTTTTAACAGAACCTGTTACATTACGCATTGCTGTCATGCGGTATATCGGTAAAAATTATTGTGAAAGAATAAGTAACGGTGGTCAAGATTTGCTATCGAACCTATACAGATCTGGTATCAGATCGTGAATGCAAATAAATACCATTTAACTTCAAAATCTGTGAAAAACGTTGTATTATCAAAAGGTTGGAAAAATCAGAAAAAAGAAATATGATTATGAATGATTAACATTTCTCAATATAACTGTAAACTTAGGAAAACAATCATGAAAAAAAATCTATAATGGTCAAATTATATTTTGAAGTAATTCTATCGTGTGTCAGGTATTACAGTACAATGTAATTGGTTCATATTCTCTTTGCAAAGATAGAAATTTGTTTATCTTAAATCAAAATGGATCGTTAAAGAATAGGCAGTTACCGTTTGCATCAGATGAAGTAAAATATTTATCTTTAAAGTAAATTTAAGTAAATATCGATTTTTGTCATAGGGATTACCGCACCACCCTTGTCTAGATTATACGACAAGTAATGTTGGGCTGCAGATTGATCAGAGAGATCATGATTTGAAATGGTATTACCCGAAGTTGGTTTTATTTGTTTCTGAGTACTTCCAAACTGTACAAATTGTGATATTCCGCTGCGTTTTTTACAATCATTAGTATTCACGTCTCATTTGAAAAAAAAATCTTACTCTTTTGATGATAGCTCCCTCATTTTTTATATACCTTTAGGTTGAAGGGACTAACTTGCAGTACGTGACTTTTTCAAAGCGATCACAGCGACAAAGTAAGAGTTTTTACATAAAATGAAAGAAATAAAAGTGAAAGGAAGAATAAAAAGAAGGACAGATGTTTAGGAAACACAAATTATAATTCAATTAGGAAAGTAAAAGTAAAATGGTTACAAAAGTATTTGCAGTTAAATAATGGTGGTTGTAGCTACGCATTTTTCTGTGAAAGTGTTTTTTTTTTTTGCAGAAGTCTTAAGGCTTCAAAGGAATTAAAAGCAAGTTATCAGAATGATCAACTTTATAGCTGTTTTCATGATTTTATTATAAGCCCTAATTGTCAAATCTATAGAGATAAAAAAAAAACCAACAGTGACTTAATTAGAATGTAACACAAAACATGCTAGGCGGCTAAAGTATTAGTATTTCATTTATTTAACTTTTTTTCTAAACAAAACTCTATAAACACTGTGCGTGACAAATTTGCCAGTCTAGAATTGGCAAATCTGACTACAAAACATTTTTTTTGCCATGTGATAGATTATTACGAAATATCAATTTTCCCATATGTCCCAATATGTCACTATTGTCACTGTAAACACTACAGCTAATTAAAAGTACATTTACCATGGGAGAATGGTACAACAGTTCACAAAACACAACATAGAAAACTTAAGACTGAGCAACACGAACCCCACCAAAAACTCGGGGTAATCTAACTGTAGGACAGCCTTGGAATTTGGCCTTAAATTGGCAATTACGCTGCGATTCCGATGCTGGCAACTGGTGATAAATATCAAACTCTACAGTATCAGTTTAGAGTAGACCACAAAACCATCATCATTTTCGTGCCTGAGGTCTGCCGTGCCATAAGAGAGGTTTACAAGAACGAGGTCATCCTGTACCCTACAACTCCTGAGGGGTGGAGACCCATAGCTGAGGATTTCAAGAACAAGTAGAATGTCCCCAATTGCGTGTTGCGCTCTCGACGGCAAACATGCTGCCATTAGGTGCCCACAAAACTTAGCTGGCAGTCTTTATTACATTTATAAAGGCTTCTTCTCTGTCGTCTTGATGGCAATTCTAGATACATAATACAAGCTTTTGTGGGTAGACATCGGTGGTCTGGGTTCCATGTTGGAATGTCAGATATCTTATGGGTCTGAATTGAAGGGATATCTTCAAGATGGCAGTATTGCATATCCAGGAACAGAGCCACTGCCATTTGATGACAGCTGTATGCCTTACTTTCTTCTTGGGGATGATGCTTTTGGTCTGCGCACGTTTCTCATATGAAACCTTATTCACATGGAGGCCTTACAAAAGAACAACGCATCTATAATTACAGAATTTCAAGGTGTCGATGTGCTTTTCAGAATACTTTCGGCATTTTAGTCCAGAGGTTTCAAGTTCTGCTGACCACTATGCAGATTGGACCTGCTAATATACGAGATGTAATTGAATTGTGTGTGTGTCTAAATAAGCTTATGCCAACATGGTATCCAGCTCAGCAAAATGCAAATCTTGACCGAGAAGACGCTCAGCAGAAATTGGAATATGGAGGAATCAGGCATATGTTGAGCAATACGTGGAACAGTATTTGCTTACCCTTCTGGAGCACCTTATATCACCCCGGTGTTTTTGTGTGGTTCGCGTTGCTCAGTCTTTTTTTACATTTGTGTCGAGGAGCAAATAAAAGTGACATGAATATGCATTGCTTTGTTCAAGACTGAAACGGTAAGCGTGTGTCGGCAAAAGTTTATGTCTTCCAGAAGACATTATTGTGAATTCGATCCAAATAAACCTATGTTCCAACTCATTAAATCTTCGTGCTTTATGAAAAAAAGAAAATACCAATCTCGACTGAGCGTGTTTGGTTGTTGACCAAAATACCTCCCGAACTCTGGGAGAGCAAGCTGCCGAGACTATCATTACTAATTGTTAGGAATATTAAGTCCATCAGTCGTGTTCATAAATCAAAACATGTATGCTGCTGTTTTCCAGAAAATAATTTGAATGTTGAATTTAAGGAATCCTCTGATTCTACACATTAAATTTTGCTTTCGATTGATATTATTCTGCGTTTCATTTAATATTGTTTGCTGAACGACCAACGATCAGGGCCAAGTCTGTGTATTTCGGAATGTATTTTATTGATTTTAAAATTATAAATTTGTATGAATTTATGTACATGGGAAATCATGAATCGTATTTTAGGTCGTTTTCTAGCTATAATCCTTGAATTTATAAAATTGAAATAATGATTATTATTAATATAATTATTAAATTTTAATCTAGTCACTATATATGCGCGTTTTTCGCCACTTTATACAGAAAGATGCGCACTGATTTTTTCTTAAAGTTTATATCATTCATTCGATCAAATTTCCTAAATCAATTTTTTTCTTGTCTACAAAAAACACCTTAGTTTTTGTTTAATTTTCGAATACACCTTTGAAAGTGTTGTTAGATCTGTTTTTTTATGATCTCTCAGGTAAATATAAAAATAAGAAGTACGAATGTTAATTAAGGATTAAATACTTTACGGAAAACTTATTTTCCTGGAGGGTATAGTATATACACTTGAATTTTACCCTTAGGCTGCCTTCAGGTTGTCTTTTGACAATTTAGTTAAAAAGAGCATCAATCGCCATTTGCAACTAGATCAAAGACTTAACAGGATTTTTTTCGTTTGAATATACAGATAAAAGAACAATTTGATTTTTCAAATTAAAATAATTGCTGGTGATTTAAGTACGGACAGAGACATATACTACAAATTGTATTATATGTATCAGGTATGGATATATAACTATTCCAATTGTTTGGTGATTTCTACACTAGGTAGGTGGAAACTTTATTATCTAGCTCTGCAAAATCTTTAAATATGACTATCCCAGGAATGACACGTCGATGTATAAAATTTGTCCCGCACAGTGTTTATAATTCATTTGGTAAAATCCGTTATATATGGTTGTTTGTTGGACTCCCAAAATGTCTTGAATAATTTAAAAACCACAGATAAACATACAGTGTATGCATCAAATTAACCATATCGCGTCTATTTCTTAAACAAGAGTTGAATGATACCATGGGGACATTCAAAACGCATAAGTCGAAGAACAACTGACAAAGTTATTGCCAAAAAAAAAAACAAAAAAAAAACAAAAAAAAATTTAAAAAATAAAAAAGACGGAAAGACAAACAAATCACACAACACTTCATAGAAAACTTTAGACTGAGCTTGAATTTGTAAATAAAGAATCGCTTACTCCAAATGATAATAAAAATCTATCCTTTCCCCGTCATATTATATGCACCTTACCAATAGTTTTTTAATTGATTCTGCAACAAAAAGTGAGATAAAAATACCGAACCTCGATAGCCCCTACATATAATGGAAAAAAAAAAGTGCATGTAAATTAAATTAGATTGATGTAGCATTATCTTTATTGGCCATAATACATATCATGGTTTCTAATGAATGTGTGAAAGTTATATCATTTACAATTAAAATTTGCATTGAAAAACACGTCTGAAGAAAACTGTCGCTTCTTTCAAAACTTGATATCCATAAAAGCGTATATAAAAGGGTTCACGATATTAGTAATGATAAACATTTGATATAGAAACATCATTCCAAGTCTTTCTGTGTTTGACACTTTTCCCAAAAATCTTTGTATAAGCCATCAACTAGAAGCAACATGACTTTCGGCAAACAACTAAATATAAAGACCAAAGTTCTTTTGGATCCTACAAGTTGAGATAGAGTTGTTTGATAATTGTGATCCAATCGCTGTTTTTTACAATTTATTTAAATTTGATATTTTGGAATCTATATCGGAAGTGATAGTATTCTGCGTAACATCACTATTTTTGGTTGGAGAAACTCCATTTGCATCAGTTTTTGTCACCGAAATTCTGAATTCTACTCTACAGCTTTTACATCTGTTCCTCCTTAATTGATGAAAGACGGTACATCAAATTATTGAGAATAAGACAATAAGTTACTAAAGCAACAGCAAGAACACCTATCACAATGGCATAAACAGCCATTGCTAGTCTATGACCTTTCACCTTGCCACAACGTGTTCCAGTACTTCCATAAGTGATGCTATGTGTCGGGGCTAAATCAACTATCGTAATATAGAAAGAACACAACCATACTGTTTAACGTTTACTTCATATATATGTGAATGCTGAGGCTACGACCTGCACTGACGTAAACCCTAGATACAATAGGAAAAACGCGACGTCGTAACTTCCGTGGTATTATCAACACTATGAAATGAAAACGAGCCGTAAATATACGGTAACGGTAATGCACATAACAAGGAAAAAACAACTGTTAATATTAACGCAGTTCTCTTTACATGGAGCGACATTGCTGGTTTCAGGGGCAGACACACTTTCAGATATCTCTGAACTGCAACTATCAGTAATAACAAAATTGGAATAAATCTTATTAATCTAATAGAAAAGTGTGTCGTTTTACACAAAATAGTGTGCGTAAATGTAACTTTGTGTAAACATTGTATTATCATATAGACATGATAAATCCCAAAATAGATCGTTGCTACAAAATCAAATGTAGCTAAAATCGGTATGAAATATCTTTCATCTGATGGGTCTTTCATTTGAAATGGAAAAAAACAACAAAACTAAAACATTTCCGCATGTCCCAAGAACGACATAAATCGCAAGTACAGCAATGTTTGGTATAAGAGTTTTTGATATTATATTGTTCCAGTCAGAAACTGTAATATTATCCGTAGTAAATTATTTTCCCATGATTCAGTGGGAAAATGACGCTTCATTCATTTCCCAGAATAATACATTAGGCGTCATTCTATTCCGGGAAAATGAAGATGTCTAAATTAATTTTTTTTACATTTTTACAGAGACACCTTTCGGCTTAAAAAATAAAAACACATTTTCTCAATTAGGTTGTTATTCAAAACACCTAACAAGGAAGTTGTTTTTAAACATGAAATAAGTACACAGACTTTTTCATTTTATTTTTAGTTTAAGGTGTAGTCAGGTAATTTTTATTCCAATTCTTGTCCAGACATGCACACAAATTGTGTTGTCGTCTCAGTGACCATTTTCCATTTATCACATGTTAATCTATACTACTAAAATAACGAGGTCCAATTTGTTAGCCGGCATGACGTTAAAACGACGAATCAAAGAATTCAACTTATATAGGACAATGGTGTTGATTAAAAATTACACCATTCCAGGCCCCTTTTCCACATAATTAATAATAAAGCCTTTTCACACTAAAATAAAACTACATGTACATTAAAATGTACATTAAATATATCTGCCCATATAAAATCATGGCCAACTCGTACTCTCTTACGTCCATGTTTAGTATACCGTAAAATCGCGCAAAATCCGAATATATCAAATGATTTGAAAAGATCACCCCTCAATACACATGTTTTCTTTTTTCATGTTGATGATAACCTGCTACGGGAAGGACGAACACTCAGGCCAGATAACACTAAATCCCCGTTAACCGTAAAAAGAGTATTGGTATAAGAAAAAGTAATCTAATCTTAATTAACATTATATCACTATAAAACATGTATGATTCAATACAGGAAAGGTCAGTCGATTATAAGTAAGTTATAGAATTAATCTGGTCGATTGTATTGCAAATGCAATAAATTGAAACTATTTGGGAATATATTCTAAGAAAATCAGTTTCTGGTTTGCTAGCAGTCTACTTTTTCTTTCATTCTCCTGAGAGTTGTTTATACCATGGAAGTATTATATTGTCAATATAATGCTTCCATGTTTATACCGACTCGGTAGTCCCTTGAAAGCGATCTCGCCGTGAGTGCGGGAGGCTGTTGGTTTTTCCTATGCATAGTTAAACAAGATTTGAAAAATAGCTGTTTAGTGCGTTTCACTCACAAGGTCAACATCTATAAGTTGTCAAGTTCTGCTGATAATTGAATATTAAAGAGTCTATGCATATGCTTTTTATAGCCGACTATGTAGTATGGGTTTTTCTCATTGTTGAAGGCCGTACGGTTGCCTTTAATTGTTTACATCAAATTCATTTGAACTTTGGTGAATAGTTGTCTCGTTGGCAATCATACCACATCTCCTTATTTGTATACCATAGATGCCAAAAAGAATTTTTGCGACAACAGTTTAAGATGCAAATAGTTTTATAATGCAAAAAAAATCTGTAGATATTGTTTTAAGGATGTACTTAGGTCAGGTTTGGGAATTTTTGTCAGATGTTCGGACTCCTTGGTTTTTTTTTTCCTACGATACAGGGTAAACATTTTTCCCCATAACACCAATTTTTCTTTTCAGATAAGACTTCAATAGCTCATAATAGGTCATTTACCAAAATTTAAGCAGATTCTAGATTTCTTTTTTTTTTATTTGAGACCCAAATAATACCAAATTGCAAATATAAGGTAAAAGTCCATGTCAGCCTTTTCCTGCCATTTAAAAAAAAAATATCCCGAAAAGGAGCTCCATAACCTATCAATATTTTTAGCTTATTTTGTTCCTTAAATAATAATGCTCTTCCGACTTATAGTATCAATTCTAGATTTATTTAATTTCACCTAAAGATTTTTGGTGCAAATGAAATGCCGATTGACGCAAATGCAAAGCGCCGATCGAAAGACATCGCTATCCATAACAAATATATGTGTATCCAAAAGTCAATAGATAACTTTACTTCCAACATATTTTTATAGCGCTTAACATTTATACATTTTTGGGAGAAAATGCTAAAAATTTGTCTTCGGCGTTTTGAAGCCTGTTCAGGAATAAGCCATAACAGTATAAGAAACATTAAAGTTCACACATTGGGCTTTGATTCTATGAATTTAAGTGAAGATTGAAAGACTTTAAGAATGGCAGTTGTGTAAATAAAATCAGGGTATTTTGGCCCTACTCCTTTAGAAAATATTAATATTTTGATTTACGCAATAAAACGAGTGTTATAAAATACTTATTATGTAATAATGTGGTGTGTGTGTGAAGGGAAACCTGCCTGTGATTTTAAGCACTGGACATTAAACACTTATCCAGTATTTATTCTATATAAAAGTTAAGCTGTATGAAATCTATATGCATATCATGTGAAATGCGAATTTATTCTATGAATTTTTATTTTATGGTAGCATTCACTCTGATCAGTTTCATGTCTCACATCTATAAACGAGGGTTCTCAAAAGCACGGCATTGGTTACTTTTACTTGAGTTTCTTTTTCAATATTGAAGCATTATAATTTGACTATAAAAGTTCCATGGCTCAATTAAGATTTTCGCATAAATATGTTAACATTTTTTGTTAACTTCTAAATGGTACAAGATTGTGTACACAGAGGTGTGAATTTCATAAAACAACAAGTGATATCCCACTGTTAAATACTAACATCAAAAACTTAAAACAGAATTTTCATCAGAACATGCAGAGATGCTTAACAATTAACACCCGTGTGAAACAATTAGTAAAATCACGTCGTCTGGTTACGTAATGACATTGCCCATATCAGAAAAATACAAATGGTTTAATGGACACAACGAACAAAATACAAGATTTAAAGTCGATCTCCATTATAAATATATATCTTCCTTTTTCTCTATATTTATTGTGATTTTACATTTGTCCTACATGCAAAAATTATTCTTGACTTGCTATTATTGAATAAACAATACAAAAACTGCTGAAAACGTATGAACATTAAAAATTAGATGACCAAGTTGTGAGTTAGTTCCCGGATTTATCAATTAAAAAATATCTTGTATTTTCTTTCTTTTTACGAAACCTTGATACCTTTAGGTTCTGTATATCATGTAAATAA